CTAACCCTAACCCTAACCCTAACCCTAACCCTAACCCTAACCCTAACCCTAACCCTAACCCTAACCCTAACCCTAACCCTAACCCTAACCCTAACCCTAACCCTAACCCTAACCCTAACCCTAAACCCTAACCCTAACCCTAACCCTAACCCTAACCCTAACCCTAACCCTAACCCTAACCCTAACCCTAACCCTAACCCTAACCCTAACCCTAACCCTAACCCTAACCCTAACCCTAACCCTAACCCTAACCCTAACCCTAACCCTAACCCTAACCCTAACCCTAACCCTAACCCTAACCCTAACCCTAACCCTAACCCTAACCCTAACCCTAACCCTAACCCTAACCCTAACCCTAACCCTAACCCTAACCCTAACCCTAACCCTAACCCTAACCCTAACCCTAACCCTAACCCTAACCCTAACCCTAACCCTAACCCTAACCCTAACCCTAACCCTAACCCTAACCCTAACCCTAACCCTAACCCTAACCCTAACCCTAACCCTAACCCTAACCCTAACCCTAACCCTAACCCTAACCCTAACCCTAACCCTAACCCTAACCCTAACCCTAACCCTAACCCTAACCCTAACCCTAACCCTAACCCTAACCCTAACCCTAACCCTAACCCTAACCCTAACCCTAACCCTAACCCTAACCCTAACCCTAACCCTAACCCTAACCCTAACCCTAACCCTAACCCTAACCCTAACCCTAACCCTAACCCTAACCCTAACCCTAACCCTAACCCTAACCCTAACCCTAACCCTAACCCTAACCCTAACCCTAACCCTAACCCTAACCCTAACCCTAACCCTAACCCTAACCCTAACCCTAACCCTAACCCTAACCCTAACCCTAACCCTAACCCTAACCCTAACCCTAACCCTAACCCTAACCCTAACCCTAACCCTAACCCTAACCCTAACCCTAACCCTAACCCTAACCCTAACCCTAACCCTAACCCTAACCCTAACCCTAACCCTAACCCTAACCCTAACCCTAACCCTAACCCTAACCCTAACCCTAACCCTAACCCTAACCCTAACCCTAACCCTAACCCTAACCCTAACCCTAACCCTAACCCTAACCCTAACCCTAACCCTAACCCTAACCCTAACCCTAACCCTAACCCTAACCCTAACCCTAACCCTAACCCTAACCCTAACCCTAACCCTAACCCTAACCCTAACCCTAACCCTAACCCTAACCCTAACCCTAACCCTAACCCTAACCCTAACCCTAACCCTAACCCTAACCCTAACCCTAACCCTAACCCTAACCCTAACCCTAACCCTAACCCTAACCCTAACCCTAACCCTAACCCTAACCCTAACCCTAACCCTAACCCTAACCCTAACCTAACCCTAACCCTAACCCTAACCCTAACCCTAACCCTAACCCTAACCCTAACCCTAACCCTAACCCTAACCCTAACCCTAACCCTAACCCTAACCCTAACCCTAACCCTAACCCTAACCCTAACCCTAACCCTAACCCTAACCCTAACCCTAACCCTAACCCTAACCCTAACCCTAACCCTAACCCTAACCCTAACCCTAACCCTAACCCTAACCCTAACCCTAACCCTAACCCTAACCCTAACCCTAACCCTAACCCTAACCCTAACCCTAACCCTAACCCTAACCCTAACCCTAACCCTAACCCTAACCCTAACCCTAACCCTAACCCTAACCCTAACCCTAACCCTAACCCTAACCCTAACCCTAACCCTAACCCTAACCCTAACCCTAACCCTAACCCTAACCCTAACCCTAACCCTAACCCTAACCCTAACCCTAACCCTAACCCTAACCCTAACCCTAACCCTAACCCTAACCCTAACCCTAACCCTAACCCTAACCCTAACCCTAACCCTAACCCTAACCCTAACCCTAACCCTAACCCTAACCCTAACCCTAACCCTAACCCTAACCCTAACCCTAACCCTAACCCTAACCCTAACCCTAACCCTAACCCTAACCCTAACCCTAACCCTAACCCTAACCCTAACCCTAACCCTAACCCTAACCTAACCCTAACCCTAACCCTAACCCTAACCCTAACCCTAACCCTAACCCTAACCCTAACCCTAACCCTAACCCTAACCCTAACCCTAACCCTAACCCTAACCCTAACCCTAACCCTAACCCTAACCCTAACCCTAACCCTAACCCTAACCCTAACCCTAACCCTAACCCTAACCCTAACCCTAACCCTAACCCTAACCCTAACCCTAACCCTAACCCTAACCCTAACCCTAACCCTAACCCTAACCCTAACCCTAACCCTAACCCTAACCCTAACCCTAACCCTAACCCTAACCCTAACCCTAACCCTAACCCTAACCCTAACCCTAACCCTAACCCTAACCCTAACCCTAACCCTAACCCTAACCCTAACCCTAACCCTAACCCTAACCCTAACCCTAACCCTAACCCTAACCCTAACCCTAACCCTAACCCTAACCCTAACCCTAACCCTAACCCTAACCCTAACCCTAACCCTAACCCTAACCCTAACCCTAACCCTAACCCTAACCCTAACCCTAACCCTAACCCTAACCCTAACCCTAACCCTAACCCTAACCCTAACCCTAACCCTAACCCTAACCCTAACCCTAACCCTAACCCTAACCCTAACCCTAACCCTAACCCTAACCCTAACCCTAACCCTAACCCTAACCCTAACCCTAACCCTAACCCTAACCCTAACCCTAACCCTAACCCTAACCCTAACCCTAACCCTAACCCTAACCCTAACCCTAACCCTAACCCTAACCCTAACCCTAACCCTAACCCTAACCCTAACCCTAACCCTAACCCTAACCCTAACCCTAACCCTAACCCTAACCCTAACCCTAACCCTAACCCTAACCCTAACCCTAACCCTAACCCTAACCCTAACCCTAACCCTAACCCTAACCCTAACCCTAACCCTAACCCTAACCCTAACCCTAACCCTAACCCTAACCCTAACCCTAACCCTAACCCTAACCCTAACCCTAACCCTAACCCTAACCCTAACCCTAACCCTAACCCTAACCCTAACCCTAACCCTAACCCTAACCCTAACCCTAACCCTAACCCTAACCCTAACCCTAACCCTAACCCTAACCCTAACCCTAACCCTAACCCTAACCCTAACCCTAACCCTAACCCTAACCCTAACCCTAACCCTAACCCTAACCCTAACCCTAACCCTAACCCTAACCCTAACCCTAACCCTAACCCTAACCCTAACCCTAACCCTAACCCTAACCCTAACCCTAACCCTAACCCTAACCCTAACCCTAACCCTAACCCTAACCCTAACCCTAACCCTAACCCTAACCCTAACCCTAACCCTAACCCTAACCCTAACCCTAACCCTAACCCTAACCCTAACCCTAACCCTAACCCTAACCCTAACCCTAACCCTAACCCTAACCCTAACCCTAACCCTAACCCTAACCCTAACCCTAACCCTAACCCTAACCCTAACCCTAACCCTAACCCTAACCCTAACCCTAACCCTAACCCTAACCCTAACCCTAACCCTAACCCTAACCCTAACCCTAACCCTAACCCTAACCCTAACCCTAACCCTAACCCTAACCCTAACCCTAACCCTAACCCTAACCCTAACCCTAACCCTAACCCTAACCCTAACCCTAACCCTAACCCTAACCCTAACCCTAACCCTAACCCTAACCCTAACCCTAACCCTAACCCTAACCCTAACCCTAACCCGAACCCGAACCCTAAAAGTTTTCTCCTCCTACAGTGTCCTACACCCTCGAGGACTTTGGCAGGTGTTCTAAAACAAATGCAGGACGCCATCTCTTCACCTCAAATGGTTCCAAGTATGGATTATTTATTACACACCAACACTGTTTCCATGTCGTGTGAAACCTCCCAATTGTCACCTGAACTAATTGGTTCAGTGAATGCATTACATTTAAATGTCTGACTTATCAAACAGAAATGACGAATGAGGAAAAAGTTACCTAAAAGCACTCTTTGGATAAGGGAATAATGGATCGTACTAACTGAAGGAACCGTGCTCTGATAGTTCCCCATGGTATCATCACATCAGACTGAGAAAAGTGCATGCTGATGTGCTCACCGTATAGTCAGGTTTTCAAATTAGTTTCTGAACACCATTAAATATCATGAAAACATTGTTAAAAATCCATGAACTGGTCATGTTTCATAAACAACTTACAAATAAAATAAAGATCAGGACAATGCTATTAAGTCTTGCATAAGCAACAAACAGTCAAAACCAGAATGATTACGCAGAGACGCTCAAACCAAGACCATCAGATCTGGAGAAATGAGTTCAGTGGAGACAAAAGTATTTTTTCATAATATATTTTGTTTCTAGTTTGCTAATAAAATATCAACTTTTTCAAAATTCTCTTAAGTGATGTACATGCAAACATAAATTCTAATTTGTATGTGCACTAGTCTTACTCTTTACTATGAGAGCACAGTATTTGCAGATTTCAGTCAATGTAAATGAACACCAGGGTTTGTGTGTGCTTTTTTGGCCCAATGGGTGACACATGAAAAAAGTTATAAGATAAAATCCTATGAATACTAATTCAAGATTCAGATACCTGGGCTTATTATTGTCCTCCTATCATTGTCCTAATTTCCCAGCAATAACAAAGAGAAATGAATAAAAACATGACATTTGGGAGTAATATACCCCAAGTATTTGAGGTTTAGCAACAGTGGGAAGGATTGCCAGCTATTTCACCTTCCCCAAGAGCACACAATTTGGTGATGTTGCCTATATCCTGGAGTGAGGGGGAAGATTTCATGTCTGACAAAGCATGGCAGTCAGGACACGACAGTGTGAACGTATGGACCACTACTTGCTTTTATTTACTAAAACAATAACCCAAATACAGTATGTCAAAATCCGCTGTATTCTCTGGGGAAGATACAGATTAAATACTCAGGAAGCAGTCTTGTTCTTCCAACACAATGATCTACATGGGAGATATAAAATGAGGCATTTCAGTAAGCTTTATATCCCCAGAGATAACTCATCCGCACTATTTTGATATTTGTGGTGGTTTCTGCCTTGAACCACATCAAATAATGATGCCCAGTAAATTATAGGAAATAGTTTAGGGTTTTGACTTCAAATTTCTCACCTATAGTAATTCCGTTACATTGGAAATATGAGCCACTCACAGCTCAGGCTCACTAATCAGGAGGCAGAGACTGGGAGGTTCAGCTGCCAAGAGGAGGCAGAGCCTGGTTCAAGTCCAAGCAGGGGAAAGAGTTTGCAAAACCCCAACCCAAACAATAAAAAAGCTGGGTGTGAAGCTGCATGCCTGTCATCCCTCTTATGCAGGAGTGTAAATGGGAACACCGCAGTCCAGGCTAATGGAGCATAAATTCAAGACCCTATTCAAAATATAACAAAAGCAAAAAGGTCTGGGGGTTAGCTCGAGGGTACAACACCTCCTTAGCAAGCTCAAGGCCCTGAATTCAAACCCTGGCACCACCAACAGGGAGAAAAGAAAAATGTGAGGCATGACCAAAGGCTTTGCTATTACACTCTACATCTGTAAAGTATAAAATACTTTGCTCTTGTGAGGTGTGAATCATGAAGTTCCTTCCAGAGTCACTATTATGTGAGGCTTCTATCCAATATAAACTCTCTGAATTCTCTGACGTTGAATAAGGACAAAATATAATTAAAGGTCTTGCCACATTCTTTGCATTTGTAGGGTTTCTCTAGTGTAAATTCTTTGGTGTTGAGTAAGGTTTAACCACATGCTTTGCCTTTGTACGGTTTCTCTCCACTAGGAGCTATCTGTGGGTGAATGAGGATTAAGCACCTTAAACCCTTTGCCACACTCCTGACATCTGTAGGATTCTCTCCACCATGAAGTGTCTAATGAACTCTGAGTAAAGACTTTGCAACATTATTTACGTTTATACAGTTTTTCTCCACTGTGAATTCTCTGGTGTTGATTAAGGTAGGAAGAACATTTAAAGGCCTTGCCACATTGTTTGCATGTGTAGGGTTTCTCTCCAGTGTGAATTCGCTTGTGCTGATTAAGGTGTGAGGAACAGTTAAAGGCCTTGCCACATTGTTTGCATGTGTAGGGTTTCTCTCCCGTGTGAATTCTCTGGTGTTGATTAAGGTGTGAGGAACATTTAAAGGCCTTGCCACACTCATTACATTTGTAAGGCTTCTCTCCAGTATGAATTCTCTGATGTTGATTAAGGTGTGAGGAACAGTTAAAGGCCTTGCCACACTCTTTGCACGTGTAGGGTTTCTCTCCCGTGTGAATTCTCTCGTGTTGATTACGGTATGAAGAATGGTTAAAGGCTTTGCCACACTCTTTGCATTTGTAGGGTTTCTCACCAGTATGAATTTTCTGATGTTGAGTGAGGATTGAACTTTGGTTAAAGGCCTTGCCACACTCTTTACATTTATAGGGTTTCTCTCCAGTGTGGATTCTCCGATGCTTGTTAAGGTGTGAAGAACAGTTAAAGGCTTTGCCACATTCTTTGCATTTATAAGGTTTCTCTCCAGTGTGAATTCGCTTGTGCTGATTAAGATATGAAGAACAGTTAAAGGCCTTGCCACAATCTTTGCATTTGTAGGGCTTCTCAAGAGTATGGGTTTTCTGATGTTGACTAAGTGTAGAACGTTGACTAAAGGCTTTCTCACATTCTTTACATTTAAAGGGTTTTTCTCCGGTATGAATATTCTGATGCTGGTTAAACTGTGAGGAACAGTTAAAGATTTTGCCACAGTCTTTGCATTTGTAGGGCTTCTTTGCAGTACGTTTTCTCTGACGTTGATTAAGATGTGAAGAACAGGTAAAGGCATTGTGGTATTCTTCACATCTGTGGGGTTTCTCTTCAGTATGAGTTCTCTGGTGTTGAACAAGGACTGAGTGCCTGTCAAAGCCCTGGCCACATCCTTTGCGTCTATGGGGTTTCTCTTCTGTATGAACCCTCTGAGGATGATGAAAGGTTGAGTCAAGGAAAGCTTGCCCACATTCTATATTTTTGTAAGGTTTGTTGTCAATGTGGACACTTCGACAAAAAGGAAGTTCTGAGCATTGATGAAGGCCTTCCCCATATTTGTGACATCTGGAAAAGTTCTCTGGAAAAGGAGTATACTGATGTTTACTAGGATTTGAGACCTGGTTAAAGTTTCTGTGAATTTCACTGCATTGATGAGACGCCATGCACAGGTGACCTCTGTTGGCAGTGGAGTTTCTGTCATGGGCAGTTGTCACACACTGGCTATATCCATTGTAACAGACTTTCTCACCTTCACACTTGACCACACTTTCCAATTTTTTCCTTAAATTTAGGTTGTCAAGGCCACCATTTCCATATCTTCCTTTCTCATCTTTTGGAATGAATGTTTTTTGATTTGCTCTGGTGAAAAGCTGGGGGTGTACTGTGAAGACAGAGCTGAAAGAAATCAAGATGGTTACTGTACTTAGTAGACTTGGTGAATACAATTTACAAATCTAATAAAATGACACAAAGCTTGTGATCTAGGGAGGAAAGCAGAATGGTACACAGACATCCTCTTTTCCACACAAGTTTATGAGCCTCACAAAAATACACTGACCAAACTCTCTGAGAACTACCAAAACTAGTTCACACTTTACAAAACCCCTAGGAGAGCACAAAAATAAAGAGCAAACATGCCACAATGAAGGAGTTTGTTACTTTAGTCAACCACAGATCTTCTTTCTCAGATACAGCCTTGTGCAACAACACACACAAGAACAAAACAAGACAAAAACGAGGAAAAGCTTACAAAGCAATGACACTGAACATAACAAAGAGAAAACCCCATACAACAAAAGCATAATACATAATAATCCCAACAGATTATGGAACATTCCCCTAAAAAAACCAACTCAGGATACAAAATAAGTCTTAACATATTTTAAACGACTGCATTCTTTTCCAACCATAATGGAAGGAAAGTGGAAATGAACAGTAGAAGGGAAAGTAGAAACAACACACAGCGAACATGGACTTGTTTGTGAGCTGGAAGATAATCTGACAGAGTCCGCAGAATTCCTACTAAAAACAAATTTAATTTGTGCAATATAAAAAGCAAAAGCAATCCGAAATATAGTATGGAATTAAGAATTCATGAAAACCTCAACAATGTCAAAACAGAAACATGTCTGGAAGCATCACTCTTCCCAATTTCAATAGTTACACAGAAAAACAGAAACAGAAGAGAATAGGAAGCACAGTGATAAACCCCAACACACACACAGGTGGGCACATGAAGGTGACTTACACACCGTGCTCACTGCAACATTATTCGCAAAATACAGTGGGTGATGGCAACCCCAAACTTCCTCTGACATGAGACAGTATGGGATACATAAACAGTGAGAATGTTATTCAACTTTTAAAAGCTAAAATATTTCCAGGTGCTGATGGACCACACCTATATTCCCAGCTACTAAGGAAGCAGAGAGTGGGAGGATCATGGTTCGAGGCCAACCAGGGCAAATAGTTCGTGAGACCCTTTCTTGAAAACACACAACACATAAAAGGGATGGTGGAATGGCTCAAGTGGTAGAGCACGCACCTAGCAAGTGTGAAGCCCTGAGTTCAAACCCCAGTGCCACCAATAACTAACTAAATAAGTAAAGCTAAAATATCTTTTTACATCTACAATAAGGATAGACTTTAACAGCTAAGGAAAATGAGCTAGTAACAAAATTCTACATCTGTGAGACATCGAAAGAAGTCAAATGTGTAAAGCAGAAAGTAGAATGAGTAGCATGGGGACTGAGGTGATTTGGAGAGGGACAGACATTAGTAATTGTACTTTTGTAAGTATTGAGTACTACTTTCTTGAGCACAAAGACATACTGCACAACAATGTGAACATACTTAATACTGAACATACACTAAAAATATCTAAGACGGTAAATTTTAGGTCATGTGCTTTTGAGCACAGTTAAAATGAAATGACAATAACTGAAAGATACCAAATTATAAAATTTCTCAAAAGCTACATATAAATCACAAAATTATCTTAATGAAGGCATCTGATCCATCAATAAATGGATAATGAAAGTAGGATAATTTTCTAAGAATACTCACTTAGGCAGAATAAAACTGCCACTGAATACCAATCGAGAAAGAAATATACAAGTCATGAAAAAAATACATAATTTTACTGAAAATAGACATGTCTCATAGCTATTTTAATTTCATTGTACATGGTCCTAAAGCAATCAGTATTAACATTTGCCATCCAATTATAATGCACACCTAAACACTAAAAATATTATCAATACATGTGAGGGATCCTTTGTTAAAAATGAAACAGAAGCCGGCGCCGGTAGCTTAAGTCTGTAATCCCAGCTACTCAGGAGCCAGAGATAAGGATTACGGTTCAAAGCCAGCCTGGGCAAACAGTTCACCAGACCCTATCTTGAAAAATCCTTCATAAAAAAAGTACTGGGGGAGTGGCTCAAGGTGAAGGCCCTGAGTTCAAACCCCAGTACCACAAAAAAAGAAACAGAAAATGGAATTGAGAATCAATGAATAAGCAGGGACATGCTGTAAAGAAGCCTTCCAGAGAAATGCAAATTTCACCTATGACTATAAACCATGAAAAACAAGCATTTCAAATCATAACATAAAGTCTATGGCAGAAAAAAAATGACAAAAATTTCATAATTACTCATAACTAACTATGAAGAGACAACTGTAATGAGTATGTAAGTGATATTACAGAAACTTCTTTATCGTGTCATTAATGTATTACAATGACTTAACGTTCTTCTTTAAAAGAATTGTACACAAGTTTTCTGAAGTCCACAAAGCAATGAAAAATCTACAGACCCTCACAGCAAAAGGACACACTTTGGCTATCTGTGTCTGTGTGCAGGACGCACTGGGTAAGGAGGGAGCTATAGGATGTAAACGCATGATAAAGAGGACAGATGTCCTTCTCTGATAGCAGGAGAAATAAATGTAGGCTTGTGAAAGATCATCTCCCCTGAAACGGAGCTCCTCGACCCGCATTCCCCTCGACCTCTGGGCCCCACTGTGTCCTGACTCCATTCTTACCTGCTGGGCTCACGGCTTCTGTGTCTGGCCTGTTCACATGCCAAGGCTCCTTCCTCTGCTCCAGAGAAGTGACCAGGAATGGCGGTGACACAGCAAGACCTACGTGTTGGAGATGGGGTGCAATGCTTGCGTGCTTTTCTCCCAGTAACTGCTACACTTCTATCCCAGTATTATGCTTAGCAGGAAATGATTTCTAAGCATACCCCGACACACATATTCGCATACTTAGGAAGAATTTTTAACTTGCAATTACCGCCAAAGCAAAGCTGAAGGGAGAAGCTGGATTTTAAAATGCAGCCACAATAATTCACGGTGCTGACTTCCAAAATTACCACTTATTCCACCACATCGTCAAGGAAGGAGGTTGAAAACCAGAAAAATGCAATGAAAATTACCTGTCTCTACTACTAAGTCCCCCAATTTTATCCATAAGAGCAGAAATCTGAAAGTCACTGATGTAAAGCAGAACCTCCCAAAAGACATTCCACAAAGATGCTGAGAGTAAATTAAGAATTCTCCAGGGCTGGTGCAGTGGCTCAAGTACTAGAACACCTGCGTAGCAAGTGCGAGACCCTGAGTTCAAACCCCAGTGCCTCAAAAAAAAAAATCATGTAGGGACGTGATACTCACCCAGAGAAACCAGGTTTCTGTAGTTCTCTAACATCACATCCCTGTACAAATCCCACTGGACAGGGTCCAGAAACTCACACTCCTCTGGAGAGAAATCCACAGATACATCCTTGAATGTCAACAGCTTCTGAAATAAAACACACGAACAAGTAGCGCAATGGCCACTGTGTCACTGGCATAGTTCTGCTGATGTTTTGCAGCACTGACCTCAGGGCCTCTGCCCCTTGCACCACGCCCCGGTTCTTCTGCTTTTATTTGCAGAGGGTCTCACGCTTTTGCCCAGGCAGGTCTCGGACCACAATTCTACCACACCTGGGATTACAGGTGAGCACCACCACACCTAGCAAAGTTCTTCATTTGACCCAAGATGAAATGAGAGAATAGGAAGAACTGTTTTCAGAGATGAGTGACCTTACTCATCTTAACAGTAATATTTTCACATGCATTATCTAACTATGACAGAAAAAGGAGCACATGAGATCCACTAAACCAGTCTACTTACAACATGTGAAATATGACAGGCATGAACACAGGCACATACGCACTGAGGGCTGCATTCGTATTCTACAAGATATAGTTCATATTGTGCGCATTTCTCAGATGAGGAAATCAAGATGAGCTAAAAGTATATCCGACAAGCTTTAATGCATACAACCATGACTAGAAAATTCAGCTAAAATGCAGATTGTGGTTCACAACTTCTGAGAAAGTACCAAGCTCACTAGTATTGCCAATGCTCCCAAGGGCACTGAATACCAAGAGGAAGCACAACAAAGGGAAAAATTCACAGATGAATTACAACTGAAAGTTTTAACAAATTTATACATTTTAATATACTAGTGAGTACAGCAACAACAAAATTTTCAAACACTTATAGTACACTAGATTTCAACAGGCTTTTATATTTTAATGCCTCAAATTCCAAAACCGTCTATGGAAGCAGTAGCATTTTTCCTTTTTTTCATTGATACACAAAAACATCAACATCGCACATGATATACAATGTATACAATGCATCTTTAAATCAGGTTAAAATGCTTACTCTTGAAATAGTTATCATTTGTGGGACAACTTTCAAAATGAACAGTACATAACTGTTATCCGCAGCCACCATTCTGTGCAATGGCACCCTGGAGCTTCGACTTCCCACTGCTCAATCCTTTCCCACACTTCCCCCCCTCTCACTGTCCCTGAGCTCTGGAAACCACCATTCTCCTCTCAACCATGAATAAGAGCACACTTTACATATGCTTCAGAGACTGACCTCCTTCACTTAACATGATGTGCCCTTGCATCCAGTGTGTATGCACCATTTCTTTATCCTTTTTCCTCATTTATGACAAAATTTTGTCAAACATCTCATCACTGGAAAACTTGGGTTTTACCCAAGTTTCTCTGACCTGGAGTTTACATAAAAGAAACTAAAGCCTTAAAAATGTTCAGAGAAGTTTTCATAAACAGAAAAAATTAGTATTTATGTTTTATGCAAAATACACAAAATAGTAACTACATTAAAACAAGAGAGTGAAAATGTTCCTATCAATACAGAAACATTCACTGTGTGAAGCACACAGATCGACTAGGGACAATGCTTTTGCTATTCTTTAATGGCACTACTGAGACACACATCTGAAAGAGAGACACTAGACACTGCAGAACATGGTGCACATGGGCAGCTGGTTCCAGCCCCAGGTAGTTCTGAAATCCAACACTAAAATTGGACAGGGGTTGAAGACAGACCACCCTGTGAAGTTTCCAGAGACATTCTAAGATGACTCGTTGTTAGGCTGAGGGAACACAGTCATACTCTCGAGATCACGCCTCACAGACATTTTGAAAGACTCAAGGGAAAATGGAGGACACCTGGGGAGAAATGAGGGATGGAGGTCCCTGGAGAATGCAGCTCTTCCCACATAAGCCCCACACTCCAAGGTGGAGTCTCCCCTAGTAATAGGGCACATATGGAAATACCCAAAGAGAACTCTGTGCCATAACAGGATGTGACAGGTCCTGGCAGCTGCTACCCGATCCTGCTCTACGGAGAGGACCTAGAGCAGAGTAGCAGCATCGATGGACTCAAATCAACTGAAGCTGGAATCTGTACCAGGGCCACCAAAGGCCTCACAGAGTCTGTCCCCTCTTTCCAGATGTACAATTATTCGTAGACCATCATTTGCACAAAGCTTTGGGCGCAGCCACCTTAGGTCTAGTGGCAGGTGAGATGACTGGATCCCTGGCTGATGGAGGTCAGAATGACACCTTCTTGGCAGAAGCCCTTTCTGAAAGAGGACCCTGTCCAGCCAAAGGGACACTGGCATTTAAATTTGAATATAAGGTTACACCATTTTATTGGTCTGCGGGTATTCACCAATTCAAACAATATGAAAATTACTTTCAAGAGTCAGATTTCATAACCTCCTTAGCCTCTGATATTTCAGAGTTATCCTGATCTTTGAAAAGTTAGACAATCCTCTCCACCAGCAAGGTCCAAGAAGCAAAAATAAAATGAGTAGCATTTATAATTTTAAATTTTAGCAGTCACATAAAAAATAAAAAGAAACAGGTGAGATCACTTTTAATAATGTATTTAATCAAATACATAACATTTTAACATGTGACTGGTGTAAAATTAACTAAGCACACATATTTCTAAGCTTTAAAATCTCTGTTGTTAAGCTTCCAGCACTTCTCAACTCATAACAGTCACATTTCAGGTACTCAGTGGCCCAGGGTGGCAGCTCTGATGACCCTGACCTCCAGGAGGCGAAGGAGCAGAAAGCCACTTTTCGGTCAGGGGTAAGGAAACGTCTTCCTTCAACATCCTTCAAGAGATGGTGCCCTGAGAGACAGCAGGGCTGTGAGAAGGAAGTCTCTAACAATACACCACTGCTTCCCACCTGCTGCTTGGCAGAGGCCCACCCCTCTGCAGACATCAGACAATAGAGGCAGGGTGACACATGCACAGAGGAAGTGCACCATTATCTTCAGATCCACAGAGGTTACTGTACAAGAACGACATTAAAGACTAACTTCTTACTTTACACTTTAGCCTTGCCCCTAATGGCCAAGGTCATGGTTTCCTATTCTTCCTCAGGTGTGCAGCACTATGTGAGTTTAACCACAAATAACATGCACATGTCTACATGTATTTATTTATAGAGTTATGTAGTTACTGGTCAGATCTGATGAATATATATTGAATATCATATATAATGGAAAATATATAATGTGAACCATATGTGTATGAAATATTTACTGCAGAGTACTGACAGACTCATAAAACCTCTGCAAATTTGAAGATTATTTCCATCATTTCAAGAAAATTACATTGCGTTCCTTTCCAGGAAATGTTTCCTCCACCAGACACAACTCACTGTTGTGACTTTTTTTTTAACTTTGTGATAACTCCTGAAACCATGTAACACATAACACTTTAGGTCCAGCTGTCTCGCTCTCTCACTTGGCAGTGTTTGAGATTCAGTCACATGCTCCTTTGTTTTCTGGGTGGCATTCTGCTGTAGGGACACACTTACAATGCATTACACTACTGATAAGCATTTGGGTTATTTCCTGCTTTCGTTTATCAGAACTACAGAATCTATGAGCATTCTTAAATACTTTTTTTTTTTCTTTGATGGTACTGGGGTTTAAACTCAGGGCTTCATGCTTGCTAGGCAGGTGCTCTAACACCTGAGCCACTCCAACAGCCCAATACCTCTCCTCTTCAGTTTAATTCCTTACCAGCATTTAAATGACATGCTTTTGCATCTACTAGGAGTTACTCTACAGATTGTGAAATGAACTATAGCATATTACAATCTATTCAGATGCAATACTACACTAGCTTAATAAATGCAAAACAGAAAAAACCTCACTACAGAACAGTTCCATTTACCACCTTCACTCCTTAGTGCAATATTATAACCTCTACAGTATACTGTTATAATTTTTGCTTTAAATAATTGTATTTTTAAAAAATTCAGATGAAAACCCATTGGGAATATTTGGAAGGAGCTGCTTTCTCCTGTTTCACCCACATCTTTGACTCATCAGTGAACCCTGCTGCCTGTCATCAGTATTCCTGTGCTATTTCAATAGTGATGTCCTTCACTGCATTACTGACCCATGCTTACCTAGAATTCTTCTGTAAGGATGGCTTATCCCATGTTTCCTTTCTTCTTACTTTCACTATTCAAAATTTTAGTATTAGTGTTTATTTTACTCTTTGGGTGCTAATTCAGTAAGTGTTTATTTTGCTGCTCACATTACTACACTGTGGACCATAGAGAGCTCTCTTATTGTCTTCTTTTGAGATGACAAAAACTTTTTCTTCCTTATTAATATTTGAAGTTGTTTTGAGACAAGGTCTTGCTATGTAGAGCCCAGGTTAAGCTTCCCAAGTGCTGGGATTAAAGAACTATGCTACCACATCCAGCTTATTACGTTGGTATTTTTAAAGCATTTTCATACTTTCTGGTATGACATACTCTAGGATCATCTTCTGTGTCCAATTCTCAGAATTTTACATCAGTATCAAACGGGATTATCCCATAAGCAAGGCAGTTTCAAAATATACTATCAATACAACAAACTGCATGAAGAGGTCTACTATAAAAAGCCAATGATCATATCAGTGGACTGAGGAAAACCATAAGGAAAGGAAGAGAAAAGAGATAAATGTCTTTGTGCACAGATGGCATGATGGTTTATATAGAAACTCTCAAAAACACACAAAAAATGTCCTGGAACACTAAGAGATTACAGTGAGTCTGCAAAGTATAAGATTAATATTCAAATCAAACATTTCCTGTGTATCACCAACAAACAACTAGATTTAAAATTAAAACACAACATTACATATACTTTAAAAGACAGAAAAATACACTTAATATGAATCTTACAAAGATCTGCATAACAGAAATGAAAAGTTTCAGATGAAAGAATCAAAGAGGACATCAGTAAATGCAGAGATAATCCATGGCCAAGGATAAGAAGTCTTGATATGGTTAAAATGTCAGATTTCCTCAATAACAACAAACAGATTCAACCCAATACCAATGAAAAAAATCTTAGTAGGTTATTCTAGCAATAACAAACAATGGATTCTGAAGCTCTTATGGAAATACAGACACAGAATGGTCAACACAATACTGAAGAGTAAGTTCACAGGAGTATACAACCCAACTTCAAGGCAGAAGACTGAAGCCTATCTTTTAGAAGTCACATGGGAAAGTGATGTAAGCAGCTGACATCATTCAGAGATCTCAGACTTTTGAGTACAAACAGTAACTAGATGGGACCTCAGGTTGTCTCTGTGAAGACAGTGAATTGAGATCCACGTGGAAGAGCAAACTTGAGCACATGGTGAACTATGCCCACTTGTCTTCGATGTTTCTTGTGAGATGATCATATAAGTACCCCAGAGGAACTCAGGCAAGGCCAGGTGACTAATTAGGGCCAAAAAAAAGTCAGTAAAATGATTTTACCTCATTTCTAAGAAGCTTTAAAAACTAGCACTTGGTTAGCAGCTCTTTTTCTTCCAGATACAATGATCAGCCATGCTCTAGAAAGCCAATTTATCAGGCTGTAGCCTCAAAGAGATTTGATGCACACACTGAGTGTATAAGCTGTCAGTAGTTGAGGTTGAAACCAGGCATCATGGTGCACATCTGTAATTCCAGCACCAGGAGGGTGAAGCAGGAGAACTGCAAGTTCGAGGACAGCCTGGGCTACACAATGAGACCTGCCTATAAAAATAATAATTTGAGGTTGCTGGCTGTAAAGCATGACCTACTTCACTGCACTACATAACCTGAGAATCCCTGAAAAAGACCATCAGTGAAAAAATGACCATTCTGAGTACAGAGAGGGCATCACAAAACTAAGCTTTGACTCACTTAAATGGTGCCAAGTAACTAGATATGCAAAATGAAGTTAAATGTAAGTTCACACTGAGTACATAAAAACTAGAGAAATACATCAAATATAATTGTGAGTTAGGAAAGGCCATTCCAATAGGAGCTAAAAATCAAGAATCCATGGAAGTAAAAGTGAGAGATTTCAAAACTTATGACAAAAAATTAAGAAAAAGCACAAAGCAAAGTCAAATAAAAAAACTACAGGTCACTTATCAAATATGTTACGTTCCTAAAAAAGAATTACTATTGTATTCATAGGAAAAAATTTAGACCAAATTGCAATTTAATGGATAAATCAGCAAAGGATAAGAAGTCACTCCCTGCTCTTCATAAAAACAAAATCTTGGGTTTCTTGTTTGTTTGTTCTTGTTTTCCTTGGGTTTTGTTTTGTTGACAGTACTGGAGTTTAAACTCAGGACCCTACACTTTCTCAGCAGGCACTCTACCGCATGACCCGCTCCACCTAATATTCCTACTTATTATCTAACCCTCCCCGCAGGACTACAGATGTGTGTACCACCAAACCTGGCTTATTTATTGAAATGATGTCTTGCTAAGCTGGCCTCAAACTGCAATGTATAAGCAACTACATACACACATACATATACATATATACATACGTACATACACATATATGTACATGCAAAAGATACCTATCACTGGACTCTGTGCTCCCTTGTTTTGTTGTTTCTATAGATTCCTCTTGACTGTCCTTCTGATTTATCCCAGTAACTCTGTATGCATCCTCCCACTGACTCCTAAGGCTGTCAACACCTGCAGGCTAGGAGCACAGCTCAGGTGGGATCAAACCTCATCACTGTGCAACTGAACCCTTCAGAACTTTTCAATAGTGACATTGCCAAAGCGGGGAAAAACACTTGTTTTTGAGCACTAATAGGTTCTCCACAGGTACAACAACCAAGACACAAAGCCAGCAAGAATGACATCAGATGACATTAAACCGGAGAGACAGAAAAAATCTTTTGGTAGTAACACCACAGGCAAAAATAAATGGCAGCTCAGTCACCATAAAAAAACTTCAGTCTGTGTTACAAGCTGCACATACAGACAAGCTGAGAGAAATGTATAGAGAGTGATTTAAGGGCCTGCAGCAAATTCTAGCCTCACACATTCCAGGTTTCACCCATGCATAAGTGGGGACTTCCAAAAGCTGTCAGGAGCATACTGTTGTACCAGCTTCAGAAAAGTCTTTTTCACTGGTTTATGATACAGCACCAGGTGACCATTACCACTGCACAATGCTGGTTTTGTTTCCAGATAGGTAGTCAGACACTCTACTACATTGCCCACATGCCCATAAGACTTCATATGCGTGAGAGTTAAGCATGTTCTCTTAGGGTCATTTCAGGCCAGGTAACAAAGAAGTCTTTTCTGCCACAGTCTCAGAAAGGCCAGACAGTTTACACATAACTTGTATGTTTCTTAGGGACTGTATCAACAAGCCACCTTTTCTTGTTTATGTGTATTTCTCTGCTGCTAAGTTTTATTTATTTTGACTTTTTTAGTTTTCCATTTTAATTAATGAGCTCTCACAAAGTTTCTAAAATACAATGAAAGACAAACTAAAAGAAAAATAAACAAACAACTTACCACAGATGTTTTCATTTTCTTTATACACAGAAACAGAGAGGACTGGAATTGCACCTGGAAGACAAGGTGATGGAATAAGTAATGAATTGATATGCCTTGCTCCTAAGTTCTATGCAAAGATCTCTACACAGTTAACCAGAGAGAGAGAGAGAGAGAGAGAGACCTAGAAAACAACCCCATGAAAAGCATCCCAGTGTGGACGTGCAAAACAGACCACGTTAAAGGAGCACACACCCAGAAGGGTGCTCAGGCAAGATTCCTATTCCTAGGGAGACCCCTTCAAATTCTGTGACACTTATTTTGTCCCAAATAAATGCAACCGTGAACCTATCACCAATCTGCATCACAGAACCCACTGTCCCTGGAAACTAGGTCTTTTATTACTTCGGTAAGCTCAAACCAAGTGTTCAGCAGGCTATAAAGTACAGGAGAGGACCAGAACTCCACTTGCATAAGAGACACCAAGAAATCCCACAAGTATGACAGCCAGGGGAGACTCGGTCTGTAGGCTTAAGACAAAGTGGGTAAAGTGAATGTCACCCAGACTGGCAATAGATCCTTCGGTGGCGGGGCTGAACGGGATCTCACTCACACCAAGCCCTCCCAGGCTTCCGCGACAAGCAGTCCGATTCCTGCCATCTTGGACTTGTCCGCCCCATTCACGGAACTCCAGAGCCGGCGTCCGTACACAGAGCACACCCTGGCCTTCTGGCAGCACGCCATATTCCGCGAGGCAATCGTTGACAGCACACCCCAAATTCCCCTTCCTGGGTCGGGGACCTGTGGACCCCGACGGCCGGGTGTCCGTCCCCATCCGAGCTGTCAGACTCCCCCTGCCTTCTTTCCACGCACGTTTCTGCTCCCACTCGAGCAGAAACACCCGTCTTGGGACACCAGTCCCTCTTTCCAGAGTCCCCCACATCTGCAGGGCTCCTCTTTCACCGGGGCACCAACCTTCATGGACTGAGAGTCCAGCACAGCGCCTGCAGAACAGCGTCCACACAGCCAGTCACGGGCCCGGAACTCCTGGGGAAGATGGAGGAGTGGGCAAAGCTGCGCATGCGCAGGAAACCGGAAGATCTGTTCCCATGGTCCTGTGTGCGTGACGTCACGGGCGACCAAACTACGTTTCCCACAAGGCTACGCGAGGAGCTTCGGCATCCCTGGGAGGGCCGATTTGTGCGCTTCCTGCGTTGTCTGCACTTTTGTGTGGAGATCCGGAGTGCTTGGATTGCTTCTGTTCTCTAGTCGCCCGTCAACCACCTGGGATGAAGCTTCTTAATGGAAGAACTATGGATGGAGACACTTGAGCTTTACTTCTTAGTACTGGTCATTATATTGCCATTTAAAATCACGTCTTTTTATTTTTTTTCCTGTACTGGGATTTGAACTCAGGGACTTGAGCTAGCTAGGCGGGCGCTCTGGCAATTGAGCCATGCCGCCACCCCTTTGTCAACTTCTAATAAATGCTTGCTAAAGACTGGAAAACCAACATTGACTCCATTTTACTTTAAAGAACTTAAACAAGAAATTAATATGGCAAAACTCACTTCTAACCCTTTAAAAGGATGCTGGATCTTGCAATTTGTGAGCCATAAGTGGATCGATCATCTTCTACAGTTGGAAAAACAGTTTTAGTATGCATTGGAATAACATAGCTGGGTCTTAGGAGGTCAAAATCACTGCAAATTTAAAAGTCCCACAGTGTAGTAATTACTTACCTAGAAATTCTGGTAATTACTTCCCAAAATTCATCTCACCATCTTCCCATCTATCATCAGTACCTCTATGCACCCATCCACCTATTTCAGAAACCTTTACTTCTTTCGGAGAGAGCTGTATGTGAACTTCACTCTCCCTCTTAGTTTCTTACAAACTAGGCAAATTAACAACACAAGGAACGTGCTCAGTGTCTGCTTTCTACCACCACTCCTCTACAAATGGGAAAAGACATGGCTCTTGTGATCAGGCTTGATGTGGCTTGAGTAGGGATGGGTGACTCTCAGCCCATGATCAGTTCATGGTTCTCTGTCTATGGTCTGCCTGTTCAGTTTCCTGTGTCTTCTCTGATCATGAAATCACCCCTGAAAATCGGAATTTCTGAAAATCAGGGATCCTCAGCCTAGAGCTTCTCTCAGTACTTCTGTCTCAGGACACTGATGCAATTGTTCTCTGAATACTTAGGTCTCAAGTCATATATCTGGAAATAGATAATCAGCTAACAGGAAAACAGACCTAGATTGGCACCATGGAGAAGTGGGTCCTTGTGTCTTTCCCCAGGATCTGTTGTTTCTGAACTAGACATTCATTGGATTGAAATCAGAGTTTGAGGCCCTAGGCCCAAACTCCAGGAATTCCACATGTCAGTTCCAGCCACTCACCCCAACATGCCAAATAGAGAGTAGGGGTGGAAGGCAGAGAGGGAATACCGCAGGAAGAGGAAAAGTGAACACTTCAACCCTTCTTCCAGGGTACAGGCATGAGAACTGGGGCAAGGGGCAAAAGGTATGGATAATTATTAAACATACCTGGTCAAAGTGTGGCCTAGTTGATCATTATCAAGGGTTTTCAGAGAAATTATTATTGCTGTAATCACTTGAGGGGAGCAATGTGGACAGCATAAGCAAGTCATTGTTGCCTGGTGGGTAGTGTGTCCTGTGGAGGCGCTGCTGTTTTCTTCCTTAGGGGCAGTTCCTCCTTCCCTGTACATATTGTCCATAGTCTTGTCCTTCCTGGATTCCAAGGTGGCTGCAAAGTGAATGCTCAAAACAAAGACAGATACAAAAATGGAGACAGATACCAAGCTTTTTCCTGTTTTTAGTTTAATTTATGGGCCCAAGAAAGGAGTCAGTGCTTTTTATCAAAGGCAGTCTCTCAGTACCTGCTGCAGAATCAAAGCATTATGTGCATCTATCTGCAGGGATCCCTGGAAGACCATGCTTACTTAGCACTGAGCCCCCTAAACAGCTTGCTTCCTCTGTCTGGGTATTATTGATACTTTCTTGAAGTGATTGATCATGATTTTGAGCAACTATTCAGTGACAGGAGTACCAATATTTATACTGTACTGAGCACAGGAAAATGACTTACATAATCCCTGTGGTAAGAGAGGAGAATGAAGACAAGAGAGAGGAATTTGGAATCCTGCAAGGGTAAGACTAATGTTCTACCTGCTACTGATGAAAATACACAGCCAGGTGCCTGTGGTGGCTGAGCACTTTTGCTTTGTATTCATTTAGTTCAAAAGCATAGCTTTTATTCAGTATGAGAAAACACCGCCACCTTTCTCCACCCTCCACTGAGGACCTACTCCCTGAATTAGCTGGGATTATTAGTCCAATCCATATGCTGCACTTTTCACTTGCATTAATGTTCACATCCACACATAGACACATGGAGGATGTATCATACATGAGGAAACGCACATTGTATGTGGATGTCAACTCGCAATATCACAATATAAAATATTACATGCAAAATTTCAAATAATGCAATACATGCATCATTACTTATCAGCAGCCATAACTGAAACAGACTTATTGAGATGCAATTCATTTCCTCTGCGATTCATCCACTAAAGCTGTGTAAGTCAATGGTTTAAGTGTATTCACAGATCATCAACAACCACTTTGTCAATTTAAGAACAATTTTATTGTTTCAAAAGAAACCCAGACCAAGCAAGGTAGTTCAGACCTATAATCCCAGCTACTTGTGAAGCAGAAAGCAGAAGGATCATGGCTTAAGGCCAGCCCAGGCAAAAAGTTACAAGACCCCCATCTCAACAATTTAGCCAGGCATTGTGGTTCACTTCTATAATCCCAGTTATGCAGGAAAGATCTGGGTCTGAGGACAGACGTAGGCAAAACCACAACACTGTCCAAAAAATAAAGTAAAAAGGGCTGGAGTGTGGCTTAAGTGTTAGACGGTCTGCCTAGCAAGCTGGAGGCCTTGAATCCAAATCTCCCTACCACCAAGAAAAAAATAAAAGATCAACCTCATAACCCATAATAACCAAAACAACCTCTCCCAAGTAGTATTACATGCTAGAGGAATATCAACATCAAACGACAAAGATTTCAAGTGAAGCTGAACACAATCGTCGTGGCTGTTGCTCTCAATACTATTGCTTATGGCACTTTATTGACTTTTAACTTAGAGGCCCAAACCTTTCAAGTGAGTCCCGTTTCAACCAGACCTGGCTTATCACAGAGCTCATATCCCATCAGTTTTGGCTAACACACACCTTACAGCCCAAAGACTTTCAGCTTTGCCCGTAACTAGTCAAACTGACATCTGAGGCAAAGAGCCATAGTAATTTAATACATTTTAGGACCTGCCTACAGACTAACACTGAAGGTCCCCATATCAGCCACAGATGTTTTTACTGGCAAATGACCTGACAACATACTAACAACATATCCCCAAATCTGACCACATGGTTCAAGCCTACTTGTAGCAGATCATGTCCAATCTCCCATCCAGGCATTTGGATACTAGCTTTGGCTGACCCCAGTTGGGTTTTTTTGGTTTTTTTTTTTTTTTTTTGTGGCAGTTTGGTCCTGGTGCATTGTTACATTATGAAAGCACCACAGACACTAAACTCATCTTTGGTAGCCATACGGCTCCCCACTGATGAATACTGCCAGTGTGACTGAAGGCTATTCAGAGGTCATAAGTGCCAGCATCTCAGACAACAGGCCGGATGCCCTGTGACCAAAGTCCTGTGGAACGGAGAGGCAGAATCCTCAGAGATGTGCGGAGGACCACACAGAGGGGGCCGCTATCCAAATCCCCTTGATTTGCAGATCCCCATCTGCAGACATGAGGGTGATGCTGCCCCCTAGTGGGCCCAGAAGGCAGCTTATCCAAACAAAGAGAATTGAAACTTCCAAAATCTCATGAAGTTCCTTGTAGGTTTTGAGCTTCACTGAAACCTATAACCATTTCCTTCTTTCTGTTTTCTTCAGTTGAAGTGGGAATGGCTGTCCCATGCTGGTCCCATCACTGCATTTTGAAGCACATAGCTTGTCTGATTTCACAGGTTCACAGCTGGCCAGGAATTTTCCCTGAGAAAAACATAAAAGCATTGAAACTGCAGCACCAGGACACTCACTTTTATTCAGTGTTGTCCTTTAGATTTTAATAGATATTTATCTCTCTAATACAAAGAATCCATGCTTTTCCAAGAAAGTCACACACTATGTCTGGATCTAGAATTCAAAAAAGTTACTCAATTAGATATCTTAGTAAAATCAAAATATGGAATTCAGGATAAATAGCCAATTGCCTTTTTCATATAAATTAATAAACTTTCTGTAACAAGAAAAAGATGAGGTGGAAAAATATGGATAATTTTTAGATATCCAGTAGCAAAACTTTTGCTGCATTATAGATAACTTAAATTAAGCACATAAAAAGCCACCACATTTATTTATAAAAGCCCTTTATGAGCCAGGCATGGTGGTTCATGCTTGTAATCTCAGCTGCTTGAGAAGTGGAGACAGGAGGATTGCAGTCTAACTCCAGTCCCAGGCAAAAGCACAGGACCCTCTCTGAAAATTACTAAAGCAAAAAGCTCCAGTACCACCAAAAAAAATTATCTTTTAGAATAAAATGATTATATCCTCGCATTGTGTTTTCTCATGCTAATCTACCTTGTTTTGTTTTTTTCCCCAAGCAAACCTAAGGCATTTTAACAATCACAAGTATTGCAGAATAGTTCAGTGTGAACAAAACCAAAAATGATTTCTTTGAGTATTGCTTAAGTGATGTAGACTTCATGTACAAATTGATTATGTTAAACATTTATAAATATGCCATTCAATAAGAGAACAGAACACCATGCCAACCCGTGTCTGACTGAACAAATTTTGTTAGAATAGAATACGGGGCCATCCCAGGACCCTCAATGTAAGACTTACAATGCCCCATACCATTAAAATTACAAAACATTTCTGAAAGAAGTTGAAGAGGACGCACACACAAAAATGGAAAAACAGC